CCCCTCCCCCCCCCCCCATCCCCCTCCTGCCACTACCACCCCACAGAAGCTTGCAGACTCTCAGCCCACGCAGGCTGGGAGCCAGGAGCCCCCTCGCCCCCGCACGAGGTTAACCGGTTACTCATTCATATCCCTACTTAAAACCTGCTGGTGAGAAGGGAGTGGGACAAGAGTTCCTATCCAGTGGCAGGTGGTGGCTGGAGACTTGACTGGGAACAGCTGCGTACACCTTTGACTAGGGGAAAAGGTGGAGAAATCTCAAACTGACAGCTGTCTCCACATTTTCTACCGTTGAGACCAGTGCAGAGTTTAGGACAGGGCAGACTTCATGAACTTGAGGTCCTTTACAACCCATGCTCAGTCCTTGTCTAGCACCAAAGAGCAAAGCTTGATTGAGTTACTATCTGAAATGTTGATATCCTCTTAACAGTTGAGGGCTACAAACTAATCCTTTCTTCCATCAGAAACTGAATTCCTAGTGGGAGCCTTGGCAGGTGTTAGACTTATTACCATTTCCATCCTCCCGCACTGCTTCAACCAGACTTATTTTAGTAGCTCCTCTCAGAAACTACCATTGAGTTGGAGTAGATTCATCCACTGGGTGAAGAGATCAAAATGACTTCAATACTGTGTAACTGATGCTTTACACTCAACTCCTTACTGGAGACATCTGCGTTAGTAAGTGTTCTGCTAGTTTATGCAACCAGATTTCGGGAATGCGAATGCCCAAACTGATCCACCATCAAATTTATTAGCACATGACTACACAACAACATGAATCAGGGCAAAGTTAACATCTGCCAAAAGCTGTTTCCCCAGAAATGGTGAGGCTAGAGTGACTATCATCTTTCTTTGTCCACCACAACAGTGAATGAGAAGCCAAAGCTCACACAACTAACCCGCAGACCTCATCCATGACCTCCAGGTTCCAAACTTGTTCACTCAATCATGACAGCTAACTTATGATGCAACTGCCAAAGCTGACTGCCTGAACAAAACCTTCAAAGCCGATCACATGGACACACTGATTTTTCCTCACGCTATCCACACCAAATTTCTCCTGTTCAACAATCATGTTGTAACACAATCCTTCTAGCATCCCAGCAACTATTATTTCCACTTGTTATCCCCACACCAACATGAAGAACGTTTTCCCACCTAATGTTGTCACTTCCTAGTTTTCCCAGCTCTCACAACCAGAAGGCAGAAACTAATGAAAATCGTCAGTAACCCTGCTTCTAAGAAGGTGAAGAGTCAGTGTTTTAAAAAGGTTAAGCACCAATAGGTCTTTCCTTCCTCAAACACACCCCATCCTCAGAGCAAAGCACATACTATTCTCTCCATTCTTCCAATGCACTGTCCTCATTTACATTAAAACATGCAAAATGCTTAAAGACGGTCACTTGAATGTCAGTAAAAAGAAACCACAGGAATCAAAACCATTAAAGAGCTCAACCTATGACTCATGAACTGCTGTTGGAACCTTCTCACTAACAGATTTTGGGGACTCATGATACTAGTCATGTGACAGAATATATATCTTTGGATTGCCTATTTCATAAGGGAGTTTTCCCCGGTATCATTGAGATCTATGGTACCCTGCCCAGTATCAGGTACACAAATAAGATCTTTAACATGTATGTTCAAAGTAACCAAACAAGTTGTATGAATAGTATTCTCTACTCCATCTGCTTGATAAACAGGAAAGAAGTTCTCAAAACATGCCTAACAAGGCCAAGGTGTTCAGAAGTGACTAGCAATTTTTAGGTAACCAATCAAAAGTACCTTAAAGAAGACTAATTTTTTAAGAAAGCAATAAGCACCTGCCTTTAGTTGAGCATCAAAAGACACTAATTAAATCTGGGCAAAGTTTTCAGGTACAGGATATTGGGTCAATCTTGAGCATTTTACACCAAAAAAGAGTTCAGACATCAGTTGAATTCTGTTTATGACAACCATGCTGACACTGAAAATCTAATATACATGCAATAAGCTAATGTTTGAGCCTTATGGCCCATATACATTGCAATATCTGCTTACTATCCAATACCATTCTACCCATGCAAATAATACAATAGATTTAAACCATCAAAAAATTTCCACAAAACAGTTTACTTACACATTTGTTTTTTTTAAAAAAAGGCTTCTCATTCTAAAAGATGAGGACATCTGATCAAATAGTTGAGACGAATTCCAATTTGCACTCCAGAAAATGGCATTTACTTAGTAGTTAATGAGTAACTTTTTGCTAATATAGAGAAGAACTTCAAGCTACTTCCCCAATATTATGCAGGATTAGTATATAGGTAAAAAATTTTACTTACGCCCAAAAATCTTCAACGGTATCAAACTTTGAGATCAGACGAAGATTTGCTTGCCAGGTTTTGCTTTTGTCATTTTTAAAGAACCAGAGTGCCCACCTAAAGACAAAATGATATACTACACATGAAAAATAAGTCAGTACTGAAGAGGTCACGTATATTTATTGGATAACAAGCCCAAGATGAGAGACTGCCACTGAGATGACAGCATGAAACTCCATACTAGTCCCTAGGCTGCAAGAGAAATTCAGACGAGAAACAGGCTAGAATTCTAATTCTGGATCTTGAGCATGTGTGTTAGAAGACTAAACCAAACATTTATGCACCGCTACTTAAAAACCTCTGTGAAAGGTTTTAAATGATCAATGGTTTACTGAATGACCGCAACAAAGATTTGAGTTGTGCCTATTGGTAAGCTTCAGCCTGTTACATCATAGTGGACTCTGTTGTAGTCTGCTAATGTTAGGAGTATGCTACTTCAGTGGTTCACAAACTCTGCATGTTCACTTATCACCTTCTTTCAAAAAGTGCCATATAATGATGGAATACATATCAAGGTCAGATACAGTTTGGGTACATGTGTAAAAAAAACCCTTTATTCTTTTCAATATGCATCTCTTTCAGACAGTTTCTAACATTCCATCAGAAGAAAACAAATGATTTCATCTCAGAACACATGCCAAGAAGCACTTTCCCCATCAAGTATATATACTGCAATGATTAGAGAGTAAAAACAATTAAGCTGACATTCAAGCTTACTGAAGATAAAATTTCCCATTAAAGGTTAACAGTAACCTGTAAACATCTGCCATACTGTATCATACTTGAAATTCTCATTAGTTGGTTCTTTTTGCACTCTCCAGAGTTTACTTTAACAGCACGCTAACATGAAACAATCACAGCTCTACTCTGGTGAGTGTAATTTCACAACCAGAAAAAAGCAACACTGGTATCTAAGCAGGACCCTGTGGAAAGGAGACAGAATATTTCTCAGAAGCCTCTAGTGTTGATATCAACACCCAGAATCTGAAGGGGGAAAAGCTGCCATGGCTCCCGGTTATAAAAAAAAGACCATATTCAGGAATATTTTTAAGTAACTCCTGTATTTTTGGGGGAAAAAAATAACATGCGTAAAAAGTGCAACAAAGATGCAATGGCTAGTTATCAGACTGAAACATGAGATGTGTTCCACAGAAGGTAATAATTTTTAACAGGATGCAAGGATGGCTGAAAAATCTGCATCAACTGGTTAGCACATTTATTTCTTCATCATACTGATGGAGTTCCTATTATATCTTAGGAAATTACAAGTTAGGTTTTGGGTAGACTACTTATGAATTTCAAAATGTTTGTTTTCAAAATGTATGTATTCAAAATATAATTGGTATGTTTGTTGGGAGAGTAATTTATAAATTAAATGTGTACTGTTACTACTGATTTTTTTTATTGCTCACTCTAATCAAACATTCTAGGTGAAGACTTCCTGTTTAATTAGGCATATATGAATTAAACTTTTTCTCAAGTTCACTAGTATATGACTAGAGATCAGGGTTTAAATAGATTTAGATAATCTTTACAATTTGTTAATTACTTCTCCTATAAAACTATGTTTAGAATAAGTTAAACAATTTAAACAGTGGCACAAAGAGTTACAAGATAAGGATTCCTTCATCTACAACCTCATTTTTTCAAAGCAGAAAACTAATACCCACTGAAAAGTTTACCATTTTGTATCAGTGTCCAAGCAGGACAGAAGAGGTTTTTTCAATGTCTATCTGAAGTATCTACCACTTCAGAGTGTCCTACTGGTACCACCAGCAGAGCACAGTCAGTTAAACATACATCAGACAGTAAATAATCTATATCAAACCCCACCTCCACAAGATCCATCAATGTGTTCATAATCAGGACCAGCCAATTCCAGCAAGACCTCACAGATGAAAAAGATTACTTGGCTTATTTATGCAACAATTCTCCCTTTTGTCTTGTTCGGAACACAAATTTCATTGACATGGGTCAATCATTATGTTTGAGCTACATTTCACCCAGCAGAACAGATTAACTAGGAACGTTAGAAAGTGGTTATTTTAATAATCATGTAACTGCTAAATTTCTTGGCAGTTACATGGTTACTTGACGTCCCCAGGGGTGGAGCAAACAGCCAGTGCACTCCTGGTTCCACTCCCAGGGAGTCCTCTGCAATCCTGCCTCTCTAAGAGGCAACAATGCAGGGTAGCAGGCGGAAGCCGGTTCACAAGGGGAGTGGGTTTAAAAACTGGCTTAAAAAATATCAACAATTTTGCGAAGGAATATTTACCTGGAGAATCACAAAGTCTGGTGGTAGGGAAAACACGGCTTACCTGTTTTGTAGTGGATGTTTAATGTACTGTTCCGGACTGGCAACCTCCTGAGTTGGTGCTGTTTCAGTTTTCTCTTCTTCTGAAGTCTGAGGATTGGGAGTGGTTTCCTGTATAAAGAAAAACAACATTATTAATGTGCATTTTCAACTGTATTCTGCACCACTTAGCTTTCATCCTCTTAAGTTTGTTTCAGAGAATTAGCTTTCCGTACCTTCCCTCCCCCCGCAATTAGCAGTCCACGATCACAGCATAAAAAACACACGACTGAAAGTATTTGTACTCATCTTTTCAACATGTTTGTAAACCCTAGTGGTTGCAAGTTATTGGACTATAAGAATTCATGTAATTTTGCTTGCTGTTTTGCTTCCCCTAGCTCCAACTGTGGTTTAGGTAGCTTATTTACAAACTATCAGAGAAAGACACCAAAGCCTTGTCGTCTTTAAGAATGAGGAATTACAGCAATGAGCTCTGTGCTCCGTTTTAGAGCCACTAGCACACAAAAAGGATTAGACAATGCTTCTTGAGGAAGCAGCCACTAAATGTCAGAATTGCCAAGAAAAAGACAGTAAGTAGAATGAATTGATTTTAACAACTAGTATTTTAACAACTAGTATCTCACTGGAAAGTAAAGATTTCCAGGCTTCCACTGCATTTGTATAACTTGTTTCTAGCCCTAAGGGTTGGTAAGTTACAGTACTTAACTTTAAATTACTGCAGCTGAGACTAAACACTACAAGTATTAAACTTCAAACAGTATTTTCTAATGTCGGTACTCCCAATATAAGAATCAGTGAAACATGTAGCCTAAATGGCAGTGTAGTGTAAGGATGCTAATGGTTAATGCGTGAGGCTTATCAGTTACAGTTAACTGATGGGGGCTGGAGCAGCCCCTGTCTACTTCACTCCTATAACTGATGAACCAATTAAATGGGATTTTACATCTGAGGTGGTGTTAACTGAAAGTAATTCTTATATCTGAAGTTGATCTTTCCCAATGAGTTTACATTGCCCATTCCCTCACACTAGGGTATTACAGCTTTGAGGCACGTCCTCAGGGTAGTGGATTGAGGAAGCCCTCCATGGAGTGATCTCGAGGAGTTGCATTGAATAATACAGAATAAAGTGCCGTTGACCAACAGTACCTAGAAGAAGGAAAACTCTGATTCCAAACCAGGGCAGACTGAGCTTGCTAAGCCTTTTTAGGCGCATCAATCTAGGAGAAGGCAACTCTGATCTCAAACTGTACTCTCTCCCTCCAGTGTAGTTCTTGTGTCTGTGCACGATGGTCCGTGTGAGAAAAGAAAGTGGGGTTGGAACTCACAAGACAGCCTCACTTAAATCCACTCATATGTGATGGAATCTCTCTTGACGCTAAAGATTTACCTCTTGATGCAAGTCCTACGGTGATGGGCAAGTGTCGACGGATGCAGGTGGAGGATACCACTGGAAGCTTTTAGTCACAAACCTGCACGTAGGCGGCCCAAGTGTGATGGTCATCTGTCTGCTGAACTGGAACAACAGCAGCTCCCGTATCCTGCCTAGGTGTCAAAGCAGCCCTATTTAGGGACAGCACTGCTTTCTTCGAAAGAAGAGGGGGAGAGAAAACAATCCCTAAACAAGCTTGTGTCAACTGCACCGTCGGTTAACCGCGACCAACTGGATATCCAATTTTTGAGGTCACAAGGGAAAAATCAATGACTAAACAGAAACTTTGCATCCTGGAACATACGCACACTTCTTGATCGTGATGATCCCCATGAACGCAGGACAGCAATTTATTGGTAGAGAACTAGCACGTTATAAAATTGATGTTGCAGCTTTAAGCAAAACACATTTCTGGTACCAGCCGATTCACAGAGGTTGGAGCAGGTTATTCATACTACTGCGTGGGCTACCCTGAGAGTCATTCAAGGTAAGCAGGAGTTGGCTTTGCCATCAGGACACCACTAGTCCACCAGCTTTGAATCCGAGGCACATGCCATTAAGCCTCGCCTTATCACCGCAAAGCTTAGACTGAGACAGGGACATGGCCTTGTACTTGTTAGTGCCTATGCACCCACTTTGACTGCTGCAGATGAAGGAAGGCAGACTTTCTATGCTAGCCTGAATTCAGTGATCTCCTCAGTACCTTTTAAATCTAAGCTATATATACACACACTCAGTGATTTTAATGCTAGAGTTCGTCAGGACTACACCACATGGCCAAAGGTCCTTGGATATCATGGTACTGGAAGTGAGAACTCAAATGGTACTACTACTACTTCAAACGTGTGCACAGCATGAGCTTGCTATAGCAAGCACATTCTTCCAACAGGAGAACAAATGCAAAACAACTTGGATGCACCCTCAGTCCAAGCATTGGCATACGATTGACTGTCATCATGAAACAGAGATCTTTCTGATGTCAAGTTGATTCGTGCAACACATGGCACTGGCTCCTGGTCTGACCACTACATGGTACGCAGTGTTGTCTCCTTGAACCTTTGTCCACCAAAACGCCATCTTTCTGCTGCATGCCGAAAAAAGTTGGATGTAGGTAAACTTGAAATACCCGAGACACAAGTGTTGTTTCAACGCAGTCTTGACCCTTCCTTAGCCATCACAGCAATGAAGGTCCAGAATGGTCACTCACTATTGAGGATGACTGGATTAACATCAAAGAAACAACCTACAGAACTGCTGTTGAGATCCGCGATTTCCAAAAACGCAGCGTAAGGACTGGTTTGATGACAAGGACAGAGATGCCCAAGCTCTTCTTGGTAAGATGTATGACACACACCTGGCTTGGATCAACGATAAACAGAATGCCTCCAGGAAATCGGCATGTAAAACAGGGGGCAGAAGTCAAACTACGGCAAATAAAAGAGGACTGGTGGAAATATCAAGCAGTTAACTCCAAGATGCGGCTGACAGACATGACTTCAAAGCATTCTAACAGGCTGAAGACAGTCTATGGGCCACACATTGCTGGCTGTACACCAGTGCACTCTGCTGATGGCCTCACTTTGATCATAGATAGTTCTAAAATCCTTGACTGCTGGGCTGAACATTTTCACAAAGCTGAACCAGACCTCAACTTTTGACAACAGCTTTCTTGAAGAGATTCCTCAGAGGGCTAAAGACTTACAGCTGGACATACCACCAATTTTTGATGAGGTACAAAAAGCTGTCAATCAGATGAAATCTGGAAAGGCACTTGGCAGTGATGCAATTCCATCAGAAATGTATAAAGCTGCTGGTGGCCAGCTGATATATTGTCTCACGCATTTATTTAGCGCCATTTGGGAGAGGGAGCTAGTTTTTCTGCTCCCTATAGCTGGTAAGATCCTGGCCCACACCCTTTACAACCAACTTTCACTACATGTGTTCAAAAATGGTATTATTCCTGAAAGCCAGTGAGGATTTCGTGCCGACAGAGGCACTGTCGATATGATATTTACAGCCAGACAGATACAAGAGAAATGTAGAGAGCAACATCACGACCTATATGTGATTTTCATCAATTTGACCAAGACGTTCGAGTAGTTACTACAACTATCCCTGACCTTCTGTTTGCTGATGACTGTGCACTGTTGGCTCATTCAGTGAAGGATGCACAGGAGCTTTTTGATTGCTTGTTATTTCTGCTCACCGCTTTGGACTCTCAGTGAACCTCAAGACAACAGAAGTTATGTCTCAGCCTGTTTGAAAAGAGCCCAGCACTCCAGTGATCACTGCTGCTGGTACAGTCCTTAAGGCTGATGACAAGTTCTGCTACCTGGGAAGCATACTCAGGAGCAATCCAAGGTGGGCTAAGGCAGCTGGCACCCCAGGCGGAACGCGCGATCGGCACCCCCGCCTGCACAGCCGTCAATGGGCTGACATCATCGGGTGCCCCGTGACATCATCAGGCACCGCTGAAGACGGCACCCGAGACGGCCAAAAGTCACGGGCCGCCCCTGAGAATACTGTCTTCTGGCATAAACGTGGATCATGATGTATCTGCTCAATTAACCAAAGCCATTGCTGCCTTTGGAAAATTGACCAAATGCCTATGGAATGATGCCTACGGTATCAAACTCTATACCAAGATAGTGGTATATCAGGCAGTTGTCCTGAATATCCTGCTGTATGGCTCAGTGACTAACTATATATAATGGCCATGTTTTGAAGCTCGAGCAGTTACATATGAGTTGTCTGAGGAAGACCGAACACGTGAATTGGTGAGAGAAAATTCCTAACAGGGAGGTTCTTACGCTGCGTGGTGTAATGGGCATGGAGGCAATGCTTATGACCAAATAGTTTCGCTGGATTGGTCATGTTATGAGGACTGATGATTCACGGGTACCAAAGATGGTCTTCTATGGCTGATACTGACCAGCAATAAAGTGCTTTCCACAAGCAAGCTGGCCACAGAAGCGCTATAAAAACATCGTAAAGGCCAATGTGAAGTCATGCAGCATCTCTCTCAATGATCTGAAAACTCTAGTTCAGGAAAGATTGTCCTGGCAGCAAATCAATGTACAGGCTCTGAATTGTTTTGAGAATCAGCATATCCAGGCATTACAAGAAAAAAGTAGGATCCAAAAAGAACGTACAATGCCTGCAGTTGGCGGGTTTTTATGTGATATCTAATCGGCTCTGCTGATCAAGGATTGGTTTAGTCACTCATCAACAGCATCACAGAAGATGAGAGCCGTCAATCGACGGCTCAGTTCAAGACAACGACATGCCCATTAGCACCTGCTACTACAATAGGCACCTTGATCCAAATCATCCTCCTACGCTGGCTTCAGAGAAAGTGTTACAGACCTCAAGTATACATTGAATTTATTAAATTTAAAATACAACAAAGAAAAAGCCTGAGTATACAAAAAAGGTTTCAGGATGTGTATTGCTCTTCAAGCTTGTCATTGAACTCTACAATTTCAAAACCAGGGATGTAAAGGACTAGTCGACTATCCAAATAAGCAAATGCTTATCGGATAGACGACAGGATAGTCAACTAGTCACTTCCACCCCTTGCTGCCTCTATCAGAAAGAGGCAGGAAGGAGGAGGGGGGAAGTGGAGGGGGGACTTCAAAGTGGCAGGGGCGCATGGAGAATTTCTAAGGGGCAGAGCCGCCCT